AGCAATTAGCAAAGCTTTCTTTTGAACCTTTCTTTTCTTGCTCCAAATCTGTCGCATACTGTTCTGAAATTCTCGGTCCATCAAGACGCCATGGCTCCAGGTTTGTGTTTGTCCAGAATTCATTCATCCCCTTTCCCTTTCCCTTTCGCATTCCATTCATCCCCTCTCCTTTCTTCCCTCATCTTAGCAGTCGGCTTACGACTGGCTGCGAGTGGCTCGCTTGCTGGCCTCTCCCTTAGCCTTCTCGGCACCAGTAGCAGTAGCCTGAGCAACCTTGTCCTTGGCCTCCTTGGCCTTGTCCTTGGCAGCGGCTGCAGTGTCCTTGACAGCGGGAGAGGATCCGCCAAGGCCAATGAGACCAGCGACAATGGCAGCGAGAGTCACGATAATGGCACCAATGCCACCAGCAACCTCGGGAACAAACTTGATAGCCTCAACAGGATCATTCTTGGCAATAGTGAAGAAGAGATCGAGCTTCTCCTTGATGTAGTGGACAGGGCCGTCGAGGAACTTGAGATCAGAGGGAGACTTGGGCTTGTCTTCCTCCTTGGGCTTGTCAGCCTCAGCCAGAGCCTTCTCAACGGGGTGCTTGAGTTTGAAAGTCTCGGCAGCCAGCTTCTCGGCATCCTCAATGGAGTGGCCAATGTAGATGTTGTTGAAGAGGATGTCGGGTTGCATGGTCCAGATCTCAAAGCCAATCTAAAGGCAAGTTTAGCAAGTACTCTTTTTGATATATCGAATGCAGCTTGGGTTTACTTACAGCGCCCATGGGTTCAAAGTTGGCCGGGGTCTTGTCCTCGAAGAAGGCAGGATTCTTGATCTTGCGAGGGGCCCAAGGCCCCTTGTAGGCAGGATTGTCAATGAAGGGGGCAGTCCACTTGCCCTTGTAGTCGGGGTTCTTCTTCATGGGTTTGGTCCAAGGGCCACAACCAGAGACATCGGCACACTTGGGGTTAGGGACAGTGGGAGCGATCCAGTCGCCGTCCTCTTCGTCGTCCCAGTCCTCGGGTTTCTGGGCCTCAGGGTCGGGGATGGTGGTGGGCTCCTTCTCAAGCCAGTCCTCAGGAATGGTGGCCTCCTCGTCAACAATCTCAAAGGGGGCGTCCTCGTCCCAGTCCTCGGGCTTCTTAGCCTCAGGATCAGGGATACGTGCCTCGTCAACCCAGGTGTCGGGTTTGGAGTCCTTGGGGTCGTCGATCTCGGCGGGGGGGTTGATGGCGGGAGTGAAGTCCTCGAGGAGAGAACCAGACTTGACCTCCTCACCATTCTGCTTGATAGCATAGGTGTTGTTGGGGTGCACAATCAAAGTGTACAGCTCGGTAGTCTTGACGATCTTGGCGGTAGGGGGAGACGACAGGTGCTTCTCCTCGTACTCGCCAGTCTTGGGGTTCTTGTGGTTGAAGATGAAGTGGACCTTGTTGGTGTGGCCACACTTATCGGGACCAAACATGATGACGTAGGGGGTCGTGTTGCTAAACTCCTCCTGATGAAGAGCCTTGTTGTCGCGGAGCAACTTCATGTAGGCGCCGCCACATTCAAGGCCCTTTTGAAGCTTGACCTCGTACTGAACGACAAGAGTCTTACCCTTGTTGTCAATCTTCTTGGGGAATTTGGCAGAGATGGCGTGGTGGGCAGCCGGATTCTTGACAACAAGGCCTTTATCGCCATCCATGCCCTTGTACTGGTAAGGCTCCTCGACAGCCCACTCGCCGACAAAGGCCCATTCCTCCTCCTCATTGGCAGAACCCTTCATGTCCTTCTTGGCATGAGAAGGCTTCCATCGCTTCTCCCAGTCATCGGTGAACTGCTCGAGGAAGGGAGCTTTCAAGGTGGTGGGCTAGCAAAGCAGGTAGTTAGCTTCTAGATGTTCGGATGAGCTGGCCGGCCTTGACCTGTTGAACAAGTGTCCACATGGGCTACAAGCACCGAGGTGGGCTGCACATGATCTGACGGCAAGCGAGGCGAATGCGTTCAAGGGCAAAGCCGGGGAGGGAGTTTTGTTCATTCTTTGCTTACAGTAAAGGTGGGAAGTTCAGGAACAACAGGAGACTCCTCAGGCTTGTCAGCGTGAGCAGTGCCAGCCAAGATGGCGGCAGAGACAGCCACAGCAGCAGCGTTGAACTTCATGGTATCGACAGAACTCGACCAACGGGTCGGGGGAATGCAGAGACTACGACCAAGAGCGCACAGCGCAAGTCAGTTCAGAATAAAGGCAAGGCAGGAAGACAAGCTCCAGAAAGTGCCAATTGATGCCAATGCCAAGGCTCGAGGAGTGGCTAAGGATTCCAAGAGGAAGTTGAAGAATCGGAAGAGAGGTGAGATGAGTGAAGATCAAGTGGCTCGTGAAGAGGTTTACTTAAGGACAGCAAAGTTGGAGCTGGCAGGGCCTAGGGTGGTTAAGGACACGTCGACTGGTAGAAGCTGCTCGAGCCTGGCAGGGGACAATGAGCCCCAAACTTTTTTGGAGCAGCGCTAGAGTGGGCAAAGTCCAAGTCGGCGGCGCACATGCGCAATGCGGGGGGGGGCGGCCAGACACTAGCTTGGCAGGCACGACGCAGCTAAGCATGACTAATCACGCCTCCACGTAGTTTGCGTGCAGTTTGAAGCTCTCACTCACAAACTCTAACCCACGAGTCATTATTTTAGTATCGACCTACCTACCAAAGTAAATACCTACTTAAGGTAGACAGGCTGTGCCGGCGAAATAAACAGCGTGAAAAGCGAGACTCGGCTTCATTTTCCTTGTTGTTATTTTTTCGGTACAAGACCTTTTCTTTTGCGTATTGGCTTGAATCCTGTGCTATGGCCACTCAATTTCCAAGTGGGATTGAAGAAGAAGAGATTCTGGCCAGGGAAGCGTAGGACTGAATGATAGGGACATATCTCAGTCTTTATGGTTCTTCTTCGCTTCTATTCTTCCACAAGATGAACCATGACATGAGGCATTCTGCATTTCTTACGTGGGTGAGATGTAGTTAGCAGTCGTGATCGCCATCTACTCTTCTCGAGACTATCGCAGCTTATGAGACCGACATTTCGGGACATTGTCCTTGGTATGGTGCTCAGTCATGCAATAGCCAAGTTGCAGTAACTGCACAGGCGACCGAGACGGCCATGGCCAAAGTTCTGCTCCCGGGGCAGCAAAATACCTGCTTGGGCTGATGCCATCCGAATAGCGCATTTCCCCTGCCTCCCAAATAGCAAGGCATTCGAGTTGAAGCATGCTGCAGAATGGAGGTGTCCAAAAATAAATAGAAAAAAATAAAAAAAATAAAAAGCTCAGGCACGCAGGGTTCCAATGCTCACCTTGATTGACTAAGCAACCGGCCACTCACAGCTCAAGATGCCCGAAACCAACCGAACCTCACAACCAAGAGTTATGCGTCGCAGGCTCTTCCAGGCTCTTTGAAGCTTGTCGTCCTAACGTCTCAAAGAAGCCCGCCACTTGTCACAGTCCCAAAATATGACTAGCACCCACATGGTGTTCCCAAAACTCAATTTGTAGACTTGCTTTCGCCGGTCTTCGTGCGCAGGTCGCCCTGTGACCCATGTAAAGGGCCTAGTGGCTAAAAGGAAACTCGACTACACCATAGTAATTACCCTTACAACACGGCAACAATGCAGCACCTAACAAAGGGACAAGTCGCCTGCACTGCCATCCGTTCTTGGGCGCCCCCTCACGTGGTGCGAGGGACTTTGGCAAATGCGGCCAAGGACCCCGGCCGGACATGCGGTCTCCAAGACAGCTTGTCAGTATGTGAGAGTTGAGAGGACACGTAGAGGCAAGTTTGTGACACCTCTTGAATGATTCCTCGACACACTCTTGGCCCTTGCTCCTAGCATGCCTCTGACAACACACAGGGTAGGTAGCCACAGCAAGGAACGATTTGCTTTTTTGGAGCCCGGTTCTCGCGCCAAGTATCGAGGGACCTGCAATGTGTGTACTTGGCCGCACTCCAGTGCTCTCTCAAACTTGCGCCCTCAAACTAAGCTATATGAAGATACCGATGGCGCAGCTAGGAACGGAGCCTATTCCCACCATAGCCCAGAAGATTGCCCCATGCCTTGGTGCTACCGAGTGCCATGACATCAATGGTGATAACTATTCCGTGCGCTCCAGAGCGAAGGTTCGGCCGGTCTGTAGGGTAGCTTTGTCGTGGTGATGTCAGTATCATGACATCTGGGAGGTTGGCCTACCCACCTGTTTAAATAGGTGAGTATCTAGCTAATCGTACAATAAAGGATTACTCCATGCATGATGGACAAGTGCAAATGGTGCTTGGTGCTTGCAATGCTGTCAAGTATACTGGCATTATGTGTGAGCTACCGGTCAGTGACCAAGTAGACAAACTACGTAATATCATGCCAGCACAGCCCAAAAAGCATAGTGGCATACGGAATGAGACTACATGGTACTCAAGTAGGATTGCACTAGTACACAGTAAGGGTGAATGCTGGTGTAACATTCAACTTGTGTCCAGGGACGTATAATTCATGACAAAAACACCAATACTACTAGTACTACTAGTATCTACATCGGCCCGCGCAGCAGCTAATCAGGCAATGGATTGAGTCGCGCCAAGTGCAAGCTGAATCGTCCGTCGACGCAGGTCTTGCCGAGTCTGTTCTCAGCACGAGAGGACAAAGGACTGTGTTGCGAGCCATAGTCGTAGGAAGCGGCGCCATGTACGTGATCTGGCGATAAATGTTGCTCGGCCATGATGAGACCAATGTAATTGCATTGCACATCGCCCATGTCACCAGGCTCAATGCACGTAATAGCCATATCGCACAAAGGTTTAGCTCGCAGCAGAACCGATTATCATGGACCAAATTATTGTTTCATTTTGAACCACATCCAAATTATGGGTATTAACGTCCCCCTCCCCTTACCATGCACACTACATACAATACAAATACAGGTGCGCCCATTACATCCGCATTAATATCGTATTCCAACCAATCTCAGACAACCGAAAGATGTATATCAAAATTGGGATTTACAGAGCAAGAAGGGCGGCAAGGGCACCGACAAAGGCACCAGACGAGCCGAGAGTGAGGCCGGCAGCGGCGCCAGTCTTGGTAGCAGAAGCTCCGGTGCCAGTCTGGGTCCCCGACGCGGATCCCGAGCCAGTGGTCTGGGAGCCAGAAGAACCAGTGCCAGAGGCAGTGCCGGAAGGAGAAGCACCAGCGCCAGTGGCAGTGGCAGTGGGCGTGGCGTCGGAGCCAGATGCAGAACTGCCGTTGCTACCGTTGTTACCGTTGTTACCGGGACTTCCAGTAGGGTTGGGAGTTCCCTCGCTGGAGGCGTAGAAGTTATCCGCGATGCACTTCTGAGCGCAATCACTGTACTTTTGGCTCTGTTCGGGGCTGCCGTCACCCTTGGGGCAGGCCGCAACACACTTGGTGGTGTTTTCGACGTTCTGCTCGTCAGGAGAAGGAACCTGTGGCAATTGCTCCGTCAGCGTATGGTCTAGAAGATGGGCGAGCGACAATCCATTGGCTAGCACAGTGGCGAGATAGATTCACGCAAACACCAAGTGGCCTGCACGCGACCAACTAGTAAAGAAAAGACGATTGAAAAGTCGACTTACAGTGATGCAGTGAGCCTTGCAGTTGACATCACTGGCCGCGCAGGCCTTCAGACACTTGTCGGCAGGTGATTCAGGGGCACTGGCAGAAGTGGTGGCAGAAGGGGCGGCAGAAGGGGTGCCAGACTGAGCGACAGCAACGGCAGCCAGGGCGCCAGAAACGAGGAAGGTGGTGAAACGCATCTTGACAATTGGACTCGAAAGTGTAGAAACTTGGACGGTACTAAGGTTGTGCTGGAGTACTGAAAGGCGAAGCAGCAGAAAGAGCGATTGACCGAAGCGAGAGACTTATAAATGGAGGACACGCGTGTGAGAGAAGAGATCGAAGGGCAAGGGGCAGGTCTCGATTGAGTCACGGGGGAAAGCGAGGTCCTTTATTTACCAGGGGTGACGGGCAGCTGGTGCGGCACGTCCTCCGTATGGGGTACAGGCATGGAGTATCCCATGCCACTGTTTTGTTTGTGCCCACGTATTATGGTGCTGGTGGTCTCGCCTCGCGCCCAAGCACCAGCACAGCTAAGGGCGGCTTGGGCGGCAGCAAGGGGTCAATTGGTGCCGACAGGAACTTTTCCGACAGGGGTATCTGGGGCGACCACACGGCTCGTGCTATTGTTGGGACATGGACAACACGGGCCCAGTTTTGCCAGTTGCCCGTTGCCACCAGCCAAGGCAAGAGGGGCTGCCCGCCGTCTGCCGTCCGTTTGCGCCACTGGCCAATGTGCAAAGTGGCCCCCGCCACTCGAGCACCTCAACCCCGGTCGTTTCTCGTGTCGGCCGTTGCTAGTGCCTGCGGTGGTCCTGGAGGGCCAGGTACTGTATACATGTCGAGGGCCGAGGGCTGGCGCATTTATCCGCATAAACAAGCAACAAGGTCCTAAATTTGGCCGTGAAATGAGCTTATTGGCGCCTGGGGGATCTACAGAGTGATACCATGCTCGTTGTACGGAGTACAGCACGTCGTAACTGTGGTACAACACGCCGTCCTTGTTCAAGTTTTCCTGCCGAGTCTTGCAAGTGGTGCATTGTCAATTACACGATGCCACACAGACAGACGCCCCTGTTCCCTACAATGTACCGAATACGTCTGGACGGAGCAGCCTCATGAGCCGACCTTGGAACCGTCTTGAATATATAATTGGCATTGTGTGAAATCTGGCGCTGCTGTTTTATCATCATGTACGGAGTACTAGATGGTCTGTACACGGTAGTGCTCTTTAACTCTCGTATGTACGTACAGCTCTATTTCCCTTCCCTGGACTATGATTGCGCTCAGCGAGACGGCATGGCCGCATGATGGACTCGGATTGAAATTGAGCTGTCAAGGCGCATCACGTCCCACCACCAGGCCTCCTGGCCTCATGGCAGGTAGCAGCAGCTTCCTCCACACTCAGTGGCGGACGGCTTTGTCTGGTTGCCAAGTTCATGGTCTCGTCCTGTGGAGTCGGCCGATTGTCGTCTCACTCCGAGACAAGACTTGACATTGCAGTGATTCAGTACGGAGTAGGAATTCTGGTTGCCACTCCGGCGCCGAAAACATTGCCTGGCTTGTATGTGATTCATCTCCCCGGGAACAGCGCCAGGCCCATTCCGAAGCATCTCCAGATGTCCTCAGAGAGCACTCGGTCATACTACTACTACGCACTCCGTAGTAGAGGGAGCATGTTGACATGGACGTTGAGTCGTTGATGGGGATGTGCACTGAACAATGCGGCACCTGGCATGCTTGTGACCTCGTCTTTTTTTTCCTTGGCCAACCTTCAGCTCTTTCATGTCCGGGAACTGAGCGCTTGTCCCAGATCACCAATGCGGATGGGGATGATAGGACGCAAGATGTGACATGGGCGCAATGAACAGGCCTGTCAATGGATCCATGCAGTAGTACTGGCCTAGTCTGTTGATTTCGGGTTTAAAGGCGGGAGAGTCGATACATGTGGCACACAGCATATCGAGCATGAAGTTCCACCGAGCGACATCACTGAAAAACGATTGTGTCGTCGAAAATACGAGATTGGGCCTTGCTCGTGTTTCTTTGGTGGTCAGTTGCCCAAGATCTGCGGACCGCTTGCTCAAGATGCTCTCTGGGTAGTAATATCAAGCAAGGGACTGACGGGTATTAGGTAACATTGAAAGCTTGTGTGCTCACCATGGAAGGTTCAACCGTCGCGTTTGTAGCGCGTCCAGATGTCGTGGCTGAGCGTGGCCACCGCCTTAACTCCTTACTCTGTACTCCGTACTTTAAAGTAGCAATATTAATAAAAGACAAAGTCCTTACTTTTTTGTACCCCTAGCAAAAAGGCAATCGTACAAACGGGCCGGGCGCTGCGACAGCTTGAACAGCCGACTGCGGAAAATTCGAGACAATTGCTCGTCAGGTCCCTGTTCTGGAAATGAGGCATGTCGCGTGATGAACTTAAGATAAAATTTATCAATTTTACCGACTACTACTACTAAAATGCGACGCTCGACTGACTGTCCCGAGTCCTGACACCAAGCCTTGACAACATTGGAGGGGCGGGCTGTGACGGGTCAAGCCCGCCAGCCATCCTTGGCCAACCCGCATTGCGAAGACAACCACGAGCATCTACGGACTACTTTTAGAAGCTGCTTCATCAAAGTACGGAGTAGATTCCGCTGAAACTCATGGAGCCATGGTCCAACCGCAGGCTTGTATCCATTGCCCACGTTTCTATCGGTACATGTGCAGAGTAAGAAGAATCAAATAAGAATAAGAATAATCTTACTCCGTAGTAGTAGACTTGACTCTTTGCGTTCCTGGGTATTACCCCGTCCACACACTTCCATGCCACCCCGTTCGTTCATGAAGGCAGGAGCAGAGTCAGCCAGCCAGCCAGCCAGCCAGCCCCACCTGTACTTCACCGTTTGCCCAATTCCTCAAACATCACGGCCTCCAGGAAACTCGCCAATTGTGATGAACTGCTGACCCAGGGGGCCCCTGTACCGAGATTATATCTGAACGGATTTCCCCCAACGGTCAATATGGCAACGCTGCACGACGACAAGAAGGCCCGTCTCGACGACGACGCCGCCGACCAGCTCATCACGTCCGACAACCCAGAGCATCCCGCCAACCTCATCCCCTCGCTGTGCGCCAAGTTCTGGACCCTGGGATGGGTGACGGGCACGGGAGGAGGATGCTCAATCCGCGATGAGTACGTACCAGACCACCACGCCGCCTCCTCATCGCCCATACAGCTAGTCACGTCATACTCACAATGAGGGCCAAACCAGAGACCTCGTCTACATCGCGCCCTCGGGCGTCCAGAAGGAACTCATGAAAAACACAGACATATACGTGCTCTCCCTCTCCGCCCAGGAGCCGACCCTCAAACAGCGCAGCTACCTCCGTTCGCCGCCGTGCTACAAGCCGTCGCAGTGCACGCCCCTCTTCCTGGCCGCCTTCACGCGTCGCAACGCCGGCTGTTGCATCCATACGCACTCGCAGTGGGCTGTCCTCGTCACTCTGCTCCTCGAGGCCCAGGGCCCTGGCCTTGACAAGGTCTTTGAGATCAACAACATCGAGCAGATCAAGGGCTTTGCCAGGGGCACCACCAAGCAGGGCAACCTGGGCTACCATGACACACTGAGGATTCCTGTCATCGAGAACACCCCGCATGAGGAGGATCTGACCGAGTACCTGGAGGAGGCTATGGACAGGTATCCGGATACGTATGCCGTGCTCGTCAGGAGGCATGGGGTTTATGTATGGGGGGATAATGTGCACAAGGCAAAAACTATGTGTGAGAGGTGAGTTTTTTCTTTCTTCTTTTTGACCTCACAAATTTCCCGATATGTTTGCGCAGTGAGGAGGAAAACCAAGACCAAAAATGAAGGATGAAGATACAAAAGCAAGGGCTGACTTTTTTCTAATACACAGTCTGGATTATTTGTTCCAGTTGGCGGTGGAGATGAAGAAGCTGGGTATCCCGTGGATCAGTGATATTGCTCGTGTTGCGCCTGATCGGCCCTGATTGTTCTTGGCTGTGGTGTACTCTGTGGCAAGGGATATATGCATATTTCAACGATTATGAGGCGCATTAAGAATTTAGACCATGGAAGGAGCGCAAAAGTTTAGGAGCTTTCATCTTCAACAGAACGAGGAGTATGGGGAAGATGTCGAATTTTTCTTTTATAATATATGCCCTGTATACCCAGCACTTTACAATTCGTCGCGTTGCGTGTCCGGCTCTGGCTCCCACACCCTCTTCAAAGGATTTCTCGGCCGATCTTCCGGATTCTCATTTTCATCCTCGGCCAGATTCCCCAACTGATCAGCCTCCTCCACAGCCTGAGCAACCCTTTCAATCATAGAATCCTCACCGCCACCCGCATCCCTCTTCTCTCTCACCTGCGCCGTTGGCAAATCCTCTCTAGGCAGACCTTCTACGGAGACCTTGGCATTCTCTCCCACGCCCCCGACTTTCCCGGACTCTCCAGCCCCCCGCGGCATCATAGCACTGCCCGTTTTGGACCCTACTGCAAACACTAGCCGCAGCGGCAACCAAACCAAATACCACATGGGCCCGTATAGAAGCCGCCTGAATAACAACCACGCCCCCGTCACCATCAGCATATACATGGCCGTCTGCAAATACCATGTATCGCTCTTCTGTGACCGTAGCAAAGTCCCCAGCAAGTCCTTTGAACTGGCAAGCATGCTACCCATGGTGGTATATGATTCATCGAGCTTTTTCAGCGTGGCAGAAGACTCGGTAAGAGTCTGGTGTGCATACTCGCTGCGGAAGAGCTCTGCAGCGATGAGGTCGTGCGTGCGGCGAAGCGCATTGGTGACGTTGCTGCTCGCGCCGACGGTTCGCCGTTCGTCTTGACTAAGATTGGAGTGTTGGTGGTGCTGCTGGACGTATCGTTGGGGCCGGGGCACGGGCGCAGGCGCGGGTGCTTCTTCGGCTTCGGGCTGGGGGATATCTGGCTCGGAGACGGGCAGGGAGTAGGACTGGACGAGGAGTTGGCGTTCTAGTTTTTGCGCCTTGGCCAGGGCTTCTCGCGCTGCGAGTCGTGCTTTTCGAAAGTCGCCTCGGCAGCTGTTTGGTCAGCATGGAGAGAAAGAGAGAGAGAGAGTAAAAGGGTAAAAATTACTTGACTAGTTCGGCCCCAAGCCGTTCAACACCATCCCTTAATATCGTCTTGTCGTCACCATCTGGCCGAACGAACTTGACTTCTTCCCGGAGGAGTTCTTGCTCTTCCAGGCCATTTCGTAGTAATAGACTGATTTCTGCGCTCAACTCGCCGCTTATGCTGCTTTCTTCGTCTGTCCCTTGGGGCACGGAGCCGGGTTGGAAATCGAGATGGGCGAGCCGGTCGATCAACTCCCTTAGCTGGGTTGTGGTCTCCTGCAGAGCGGTAAACCGCTCTTGCAAAGCTGCTAGGGGCATTCTCGGGGCCTTGGTGGGAAGACGTCCTCTTCTGCGTATATTTGGGGATTGCAGGACTAGAATTACTGCCACCTAGACTCAACTGGTTTATAGTCTCAAGACACCATGGCAGCTTTCGGGAACTGCACATGTGGGGCTGTGACGTGGTACGTTTGGGCTGATTGGCGCATTGGTTTTCGAGCTTCAGCATCGCGACGTCTGGCAGTTCAGGACTCTTGCGTGACAAATTCACCGACTTACCAAAACTGGCAACTTGGTACAAAATACCCGAGATTGAGATTTAAATTGTTACATTCGATATTTATCTATATGATTTTCCGAGAATGGTATAATACCAAAGATGTACGGAGTACCAAACTGGGAACTAATTTCGCACAGGCGCCATCCCTTCAGCTCATAGACGCATCACGCAAAAGTGAAGAACAAAACGGCACACGATACCAAAACATCAGACACAATATCAAGGCATTAAAATTTCCCATTCAACTACCAAGCTATCCAAGCCCAGCCCAAACTCAAAAACCATCCCAATGATTCATCAACTCCTCCCCCAACCCCGTCACCACCAGCCCAGACCAAGCCCAGGCACCAAAGTTAGCATCATCCTACCACTGCAAAGGCGCAACATACCTAGATGAAAAAAAGGTGAAGCATCGCCCTCCAGGAAGAATAATCGGAATCGAATCATGGCTTTTCGCCACGCCACGCATCGCACTCAAGTGTCAACACACAATCTGCGCAGCAGCTTCCCAGAGGAGACGACCAAAAAAACCCCCCCAAAAGAGGGCTCTGGCGACCCTGATATTTCTGATGCCAACTGCGGACGTCGATTGACGCCGAGCCCTCACGGGCAGGCCCGTCCTTCTCGTTAAAAAGAGCGACCGCGGCAAAACAAGTTTCCAAGTTTTCAATGTAGAGGCTTCTCCGAATTTCTCACATGCAAAGTATCTTTCTACCATTCCACAGGGGGGGCAGAAATTTGAGATTTTTCTCCCCCTCCAAATCTACACATGGTAGATTGTAGGGGAAAATCTCCGTTTGTCAGCATGGAAGCGTGGCGTTTCCCAGAGGGCGATGCTTGAGGAAAAAAAGAAAAAAAGGAAAAGAAGAAGCCAAGCGAGCAACTTTTATTCCACGTCGCTGCGGGACCTCGATAAGCTTTTTTTTTGCGCAGAGCAAAAACGTCCAGTTACCACGTGACGTGGAGCCGCAGCGCACTCAACTCGCCCGACGAACCAGCCGACAGGTTCACACTTCTGGGATGGGATCAAGGCGCCAATTGAGCCTCAATCGCCATTTCTTTCCTCCCGCCTGGTCCGGTCGCTCCGCGCGGTGCGCCCCGTCGTCGAGATGATTACAAAATTCGTGACCGAGATTACGGCCAAGTTCAACCCGTTTTCGGCATGCGCAAAACCCGCCCGACTGTTCCTCACGTTTCTGCCTCCTAATGCCCGTGCCAGCGGCACGTCGATAACTACAACTCTTCTTCCTCGAAATTCGACCGAGGCAAGCTCGTTAAGAGTCAAGTTCAGTATGCGGCCTGTTTGATGTGTGATGTAGGGCCAACGAAAACGCTGACAATCTGCAGAGGACGGCAAGGAGCTCAACTTCGACTGCGGAAAGATGAACATCAAGGGACTTGTTGAAGAAGTGAACCGGCACTCTCGCCAGCTGCAAAAGGCAGCCGATTTAACGGATTAAACATGTGTTATAATACTAGCCTACTGTCTGCATTTGCGGCGTTTTTGTGTTACAATGGGGCCTACCGAGATGCTGCCCAAATCGCAGGTCTACGCGTGTACAATGAATAGATTTGCTAAAAGCAGAAGACTTTTTGTATACTCTTTATGGGGGGTTGCTATGCAGCCTGACTACTCTTTGTTATATTCATGATACGCATAAATTATTCTGCGCCCCCCACGCATGCTGTATGTTTAAGCTGAGTTACCGCTGATGAAGTACCACTTCTCAGAGGTGGGATCGACTGCCGCAGGAGGGAGCTCCTCGTGAGGCTTCACTTCGGGAGGTGTAGCCCTGTAGTCACCCTTGCCCACAAGTGTAGTGTTGGTGCTGGAACACGTGTCAGTACAATGGCTACAAAAAATACGCTTTTCTGGTGTCTTACATCTTGATCTTATCGGCAGCCTTCTCTCTCTGGCCTTGTCGGGGTTCCGTCTTGCCATCGAGGAGGCGGCTCCAGGCCTTGTGGCACTCCTTAATAATATCATTGGCAAATCTTCAACATTATGTTAGCATGCAACTAGTAGTCTTGACCGTGTAGGATGGACAGTACTCTTTGTTCTTGGTCTCGCCAGTGAAAGCGAACTGGTTCTCAGGTTTGCCGTGAGGGATCTTGTAGATGCGGAACCATTCGTTAGTGGCACGCAGAAGACCGGGCAGCTTGGACTCGATATCTTCGGCGGTGTTGAGTTCAGGAGCCAGGGGGTCGTTGACGTCGATGACAATAACTTTCCAGTCCGTCTCACCTTCGTCGAGAAGGGCCATGATACCGAGAACCTTGACCTGCTTGACCTGTCCGGTATAACCAACTTGCTCGCCGATCTCGCAAACGTCAAGAGGGTCGTTGTCACCATAGGCCGCGGTGTGTTGGTCTTCATGCGCGGGGTCCTCCCATGTCTGAGGAAGAGGGTCAGTTACCAAAGTCATAACAAGACAATATGCTGGCCAATGCAATGTAACTTACTTGGGGGAAGGCACCGTAGTTCCACAGGTAGCCCCTGTGGGGGAAACAGTTGCGGACAAATCGAAGGCTGCCTCCCTTGTCTTTGTCCTGCACGATTGGGTTGAGCTCCTGTCCCTTGGAGATCTGGTTGAGACGAGTGATGGTTAGCAAGACTGTTTCCCCTTCGTTTTGAGCGGAGGCGCAATGGCCATCAATGTTATTTGCGTGCAGGAAAAATCGGGGCCGTTGCCAACTTCTCTGTCAAGCAAACAGAGCTTCAAAACAGACACACAAGTAAAAAGTGACTCATACATACCTCAAGCTTGGCATTGGTCCATCGGGGAATCTCAACAATCATGTTGAGAATGCCTTTCTCCTTGTCGGCATACAGGGGGATATCGTGAAAGGGGGAGATGACCTTGCTGCTGACTTTGGCTCCCTTCTGGTGAACCTGCTGCTCGATGTAGAGCTTGAATTCCGGGGAGTTGAGGGCCCCATTCTTGCGAACGGCGTAGCTGACTTCGGAAGCCATTTTGGGAGACGTGAATGAGGCAGAGGATGGTGATGACGATGAGGAAGGTGTAGAGGAGAGAGATTGGGTAGCAGAGCCCGACAGGTGACGAGCAATTTGCGCAGTTCGTTGTGACGAGACAATGGATGAGGTGATTCGGTGGGATGGAAAAAGAGGGGGCGGGGCTTGCAGACCCATAGCCATAATCCTAGTAGGGAACCTCGCAGATGGCGAGGCAGAGATAGCAGCGACGGAGGGCGAGGCTGTGGCAGCAGCCCTCTGTACATGCACCGTTTGCCGCGGGCCCGACGGCGCTGAGAGCGCTGCACCGGCGGTTGCCCCTGGTTCTGGTCGACACCTGGCCAGAGTCGCTGTTAGCAGCGTCGGCGATTGCTGGCCTTGCCGTTTGACCGAAGTCGATGTTGTTGACCTTGTGCCCGGTCCGGTTCGCGATGCTGTGTCTGACCCAACAATGTCGTGATTGGCCCGGCTCAACAGCTGCAACAGACTCTGCAGACGCCGCGGGTCTTGGAGTCGAAATCCACGTTGGGAGAGCATCAATTGGGCTTGTTTGTTCTGCGTTGGGCAAAAGGGGGCGTGCCAGTCTTTAATTGCCTCGCAGTCTGGTCTGGTTGGGCTGGCGTGCGCGGATCCGGGAGAGTGGGAATGAGCACTTCAAAACCGAGGTTATTTTCACTCGATGCTTCTGCACGGCTAGACACTAGGCGGTGGTTGTTTAGCGGTTTGGCCGTCGGAGTTGCGACGAAATTGAGGCTCGGGCAAGCACGGGAGCGACATCGGATTGACCACATGCAGACATCTTACGGAGCAGGGGCCACCGACACGGAACAGGGGGTCAACGGTCTGGCGGGCCAAATGCCGTTCTAGCCCGCCCTGGCGTCACCTCGCCTCTTTCTATTGCGCCATGTGCCGTTGACGAGTTTACTCTTCTTGTTTGTAATGTTGCGTGACTGTGTACGGAGTACGGAGTATATTTCGTCTCCTGGGAAGCATACGCATCCCATTGTACGGAGTATGGATTCTCGCAACGCCCGCGATGCGCCTGCCACCGCCCACAACATCATCACCGGGCCTCAGTAGCACGAAGCCTTACGGCAGCATTGTGCCTACGCATTCCAAAATTGGTTTGTTTGTTTGCCCCCAGCGTGAACTGCACACAATAACTACATCATTCTTGGTGACGCAACATTACCGCCCGACCACCAGCCAGTTACTCATCGGTTGTAATATTGGGCGGACGACCTCGAGGTTTCACGACTCTGGTCTGGCACACCAGCGCTGGATAGGCCAGGTTCCAGATTATGTAGCTTTGTAAGCTCGAATTCATATAGACAGCGGCATGTTGAAGGACATGGCACTCTGTATCTCATATGCAGACGCTTTATTATGTCGGATACTCCTCATCTGCGCTTCTTCACCTTGTGTGTCGGCAAGTTGTCGAGCCACGGTTCGCCTTCCTTTAACCATTTGAATTGAGATGACATCAATCGAACATAAGCTGTAACAAAAGAAGATTTGCCGAGGTAGACCATTTATTGGACACTAGGCTGCATTACTCGATACATAGCACACCCAGTACAACCTACATCACAGAGCAGACCCTTGTAGCAGGCATCACAAGAAGCACCAGAATTCCCAAACCCAATAAAAAAACAGAGTCATACCAACCTGATAAGCAGTAATCGTTTCAAAAGTTATACAAATCGTTAAGCCGACCCCAGAATCTTCGTTCCAGCCTCAGTCTCCTTTGCGCCATCATCCGCCTCAACGTCGAGAGCTGGTTGCTTCTCTTTTGCAGGGGAAGTCTCCTCAACTGGGGCATCATACGGTTCGACCTCCGGTCGCCAGTCTCGAAGGTCATCCTCGCAGTCGTTGAGGATCTGACGAGCCTGGCTACTCTCGGTGTAGTTGGGCCGAGTGTCACCCGGAATCACCGGTGTATCGTCGAGAAGAGATAAGAGACGGCGTCCGTGCTTGGCAAGGATGATCTGCTTCTCTGCTCGCTCGATGGTGGCAAGAAATTCGGCATCATAAGCCTCCTTGAGCTTCTGACGAGTCTATTCAGTGCATTAGAAGCCTTTTTCCAGACAGTGCCACATGGGCTATCCTAATGGCGCACTCACAATGTTGCTCAATTGGGCTTCGGCAACCAAATTCTCGGCTTCAGCACGGACAAGCTCCTGCTCCAGGACAACCAGTCTAGCACTCTCGGGCTCCTTCATCTTGAGCTTCGCAATCTCGTCGGCAATCTTGGCCTTGCCATCACGGCTAGGCTGGACGCTCTTCTCCGTGTTACGGATGGACTTGAGACGTCCACGAGAGTCGTCCAACGCATGGGCATAGGTGTCTTCCTGCTCGCCAATCTCGCTCAAAACCACACCAACCTTGTCAGAAATGTCGCTAATGGCGTCGTCGCCAGTCTGTTCTCCCCACTCAGACAGTTGAGTAGCAATGTTGATGCGCTCACGACCAGCGGCTTCGTGAGCGTTAATCAGGTTATTCTCGGACTTGATGAGCTTGAACAGCTTGCGTGACAGCTCGGGCTGAGCCTGGCCGCGGAGGGAGCTGAAGGAGAAGCTGGGAAGCTGGCTGCCGGAGCTGGAGCCTTTGCCGGACTTGCCTCCAGAGCGGATAGAAAGCGCGCGATTCCTGTGGGTGGGAGGACTGTTAGTTACCGATTCGCCAGAGTGGTAGCGCAGGTAGGCTGGACCAAGATGCATGAAGGAGCCGTCGAAGCTTGATCGCGACATGATGAAAGGATGGCAGTGTCACTGGAACGCAAAAACTAAAGCTGTCTGCTATGGCCCGCGTGGTGTTGTAGGACGCGGCATCGTCGGAGTCACTTACATAGCGGCGGCTTCGGGGTATCTTTGGGTTCGAGGCAACTGCGGTGACGAAGTAGAGGCAGGTACGCTGTCTGTTGCTTGCGAATATGATTATATGTCAGCTCAAGCTCACAGTGCTCACCAAGCTCTCCGAGAAGCCTATCCTGCCTCCTCAACTTGAGGCAACTCTCCGCCAAGCTCCGATAGAAGATGTATAGACACACGTACAATCAGCGTCGAGTAGTTTGTGCGTTAGCTTAGATCCTAGCAAGCTGCGCGAGATGACAAGCCAGGGATCCCAGTAATAAAACAGCAAATCCCGGGTATACGAAGCGCGAAAGGAAGGAGCGGAGTGTCAGCCAAGCCCAGCGGAGCGAGAGGCGCAAGTAGGGTTTTAAGAGGAAGGGAACTGGAACGGTGATGCAAGTTTGTGTCAGGTGTCGGGCAAACAGGCTGAACAAAGCACTAGTTTAATTTTTTTTCACTGAAGGGAAACAACTGAACGAGACACAAGCCGTCGAAATAAATCTACGGACTATTATTCTGGCCTGTACAGACGCCAAGAGGCAAAGGGTGTCTTGGAAAGCTTCCTCAACTGTGGGATGAAGCCTTGCTCGTGGTGACGGGATTGATGCGCCATGATGTCATTCACTGGGAGGAT